GTCCAGCTTCAGCCGTCGCGAGGGGCGCGCGGTCCGCGCCCGCCTGGGCCCGCGGGACGAGGCTGTCGAGGACCAGCCCAATCGCGGTGATCACGCGCCACACTCCGCCTCGCGCACGGGCGCCGCGCGCAACAAGCGCGCCACGAAGCAGCGGCGAGCTTCGACGGCGGCGCTACCCGCCCCTGAAGAGGGAGCCGCCACGACGCCGGGCCGCAGGGCGCGTCGCACTGCTAATGCGCGTCGCTGGGCAGGCGCGGCACGCCCCAGCTCCGCCGCGGGAGTGGGCCCTCCACCGCGGAGCCGCAGCCCTGCCCGCAGCCGTACGCGGTCTCCGAACCCGTACGGGACTGATCACACTTCCCCCTCGGGAGGCTGCTCCTCGCCTCCCATCGACGTCTCGAGCGCGCCTGAGGAGCCGTCGGGGCCGCCGGCGGGGGAGGCATCGGAAGGCCCGCACACTCCTGAGGGGTCTCCTCCAGCGAGCGCCCGCAGCCGCTCGAGAGCGGAGCCCGCGTGCGAGGAGGACTCACCGACGGAGCTCGAGGACGTCGTTTTGAGTGCCCTCACTGACTCCTCGGTGGACCTCGAGCGCGTCGTGGCGGGCCTTAACCCTGAGGCCCTCCGCCGCTTGCAGGCGGCCTTCCCTCGCCGCGCGGAGGCCTCCCCGCCCGCCGCTCACGCTGCGGCTCGCAGCCGCTCTCGGGGCCGCGGCACGCGTGCTGGCTCCGAGACGCCGCGGCCCGTCCCCCCGCCGCCATCGCCACCCCGTCACCACTCTGGTGGGCGTGCGGCGTCGCGTTCCCGTGCGTCGCCTGGGCGTCGCGTGGTGCGCTCCCCTCGAGTCGCTCCGAAGCGTCGCCCGAGCCCCGCCACTTCGCAGCGGCCAGCCAGCTCCCGCGCGGACTCCGCTGCTCAGGCCCCTCCGACTTCGGTAGGCATGCGCTCTTCCAGCGATGCTGTTGCGGCCCCGCAGGGAGGAGGGCGTGCCGCCGAGAAAGGGGGGTCTTCGAGCGGCTTCGCGCTTGGTCGAGCTTCTGAGCCCGAGCTGCCTCTCAGCGGCTCTCACAGCGGTGACGCTGGAAGCGCCGCGGCTGCAGCCTTCGCAGCGCGGCGCACGGCCTCGGCGGCCGCTGAGCAGCCCTTGCCTCCAGGGGCCGCCAGCGCCCTAGCGTGGCGCCTCAACCTAGGCGGTGAGAAGATCACAGTGGTGAGGTGGGGACCCGCCTGGCAAGGTGCTTTCCAGAGCGCGGCGTCGTGGCTGAGGACTTTTGCACCCGCAGGGGCCGCCGAGCCTGAGGGCAAGGATGACCTGCACTGCCTCCTGCGGGCCTTGCACGCCTACAAGCGCCTGTTTCAGACAGGCGGCGCCGAGCCGATTGACGAGGCCTCGTGGCTGCATCCTTACGTGGCCATCGTCGAGCCCGAGGCGATCCCCGCGGATGCTGACCTCCAGGCCATGGGGGCGGGCGCCATCCGTGGCATCGGGCTCGGCTCAAAGATCGAGCAGCGGCGGCGCGCGGGCAAACTGGCCTGCCTTTTCGACCTTCTGTACCACGTGCAGGACAGTCACGGCGCCATCCCAGCAGCGCTGTGGGGATCCCATTCCCCTCCGTCCGAGATCCTCGACGCCTTCGCGGAGGTGGTGCCCGTGCCACATCATTCGGGCCTCACGTCCTCGGCAGCTCGTTCCGAGCTTGCCGAAGCAGCCGCAGCTGCGCGTGCCGAGCCGCGCCCGCCTTTTGACTGGCCGACCCTCGAGAGAGGGGACGCTCTGCCAGCCGAGATCGAAGCAGGGGCTCGCCGTGCCTACCGTAACATGGGCGGGTCCTTCAGCTCGGCGCGGGCGATGCTGGCGGAGGCGTCGGGGTTCGAGACCGACGGGCGGGACGCCCTCGTTCCGCCCTTCTACGCGTCCAGGCGCAGGAGGGCCGCCACGGTGATCAGCTCTCCAAGCCCTGGCCGCCCTGCGCTCATCCTGTGGTGCGTCTGCGGCCTCTGCATCTCTCTGGGAGCCGCGGCGCCGACCGCAGGCCAAGGGCTTAGTCGGGCTGCGCCGTCCGCGCCCGCTCGCCCTCCGCGCACTCCCTTCGTGCGCGATTCTCACCTCACCTCCGCGTATCTCGACCGTCGCTCGAGATCGATTGATGCCTTCGAGCTGTGGTTAGCAGAACACACTGGCGTGCCACCCGCCACACTTTACCGAAGCGGGATACTTCTCGCTCGTTTCCTCGCGACCTTCGGCGTGTGGCTTCATGATGCAGGTTTCCCTCATTATATTTTGGTCCATGCCATCTTGGGAATCCAAAGCGCCCATCCGCATTGGAAGGCCTTTCTGACAGAAGCTTGGGACGTAGCGAAACAATGGAAGCTTGCGGAGCCGCCAAAGCTCCGTCCCCCCTTGCCACGCGCGCTGCTGCGCGCCATGGTCGGGCTCTGTCTCGCCTGGGACTGGCCTGTGATGGCGGCGCTGCTGCTCATGGGCTTCACGATGTTCCTCAGGCCTGGCGAACTGCTGGCGTCACGCCGCTGTGACCTGTCGCTTCCATGCGACCGTCTCGAAGTCGAAGGGGATGCTTTTCTTTCAATTCTTGTTCCAAAGACCAGAAGAACGTACCCGACGCAACATGCTCGCTGCTCCGATCGGGGCACGGTGAAGATATTGAGTCAAGTGTTTGGAAGGTTGGCTTCCACCGATCCTCTCGCCCCCTTCGGTGCGAGCGGCTTCCGTACTCGGTGGAATCATCTGCTTTTGGCTCTGGGCGTCCCTCTTGCCAAAGCAGGTCAGGGGCTCAACCTGACGCCCGCTTGTCTGCGGGGCTCTGGCGCAACAGACTTCTATATCGCTACGGAAGACGTCCCTCGCGTCTTCTGGCGTGGGCGTTGGCGTCAGGCTTCCAGTGCCGAGCGCTACCTGCAAGCCGCCGCCGCCTCTACAGTTCTTGCTGCGCTGCCCGAGCACGCGCGGGCTCGTATCTTGTTCTTCGCCACCGCCAGCGACCGCCTCGTCGCTTCTTTCCTCCAAGTCGGCCCCGCCGCTTGGCCTGCCCTGCTTGCGGCCGCCCGCCAAAACCTTGTCACTTCGCAAGGTCCTTGAGCACGGGTATGGCTGCCTCGCCGACATCGGCGACCAGACGGACTCCACCGTCTGACGCGCGGCGCCCCGGCTTGAGCGCGCGGGACGGGCCTGCCCAGTTTGGGCCGCCCCGCGCGCGCACGCCGCGGCCGCGCACGGAGACAGCTCGCTAGCGCGCGAGCGGGAGAATGCTTCTTCTATTCTCTGTGAGCAAGCTCCTGCTGTCTCCGCAGCTTCTCTGCCCCCCTCCCTCCTCTCCCATTCTTAGGCTGACGGGCGCTGCCTCGCCGACATCGGCGACCAGACGGACTCCACCGTCTGACGCGCGGCGCCCCGGCTTGAGCGCGCGGGACGGGCCTGCCCATTTTGGGCCGCCCCGCGCGCGCACGCCGCGGCCGCGCACGGAGACAGCTCGCTAGCGCGCGAGCGGGAGAATATATATGTATACACACAAGACTGCAGTGGCGCTTCGCGCCACTGCACCTTGGTCCTTGAAATTTGGCATGCAGGCGGAATGGCAGGAAGGTCAAGCCGACAAATTAGCGATAACTCCTTGTTGCCTTTTCCAGCATCGCAGCTAGAATTATGTTATTCGTTATCCTTCCTCCATGTTTCTTTTCCTCGTTTTCGCAATACCCTGCGCATTTTCCCCTTTCCTCCTCAGCTCTTTTTGCGGAGGCTCCTCCTTGGAGAGCCTCTGGGGGCCTCACAACAGTTTCAGGCTTTCTTAAGGCCTTCTGGAGGCCTCCTGGGCGTGTTCTGGATGTTCTGGGGGCTTCCTTGGGCCAACCTGCCTCCAACCGCGGTCTCCATGAACGACCAGGTCACGATTTGGAATGCTTCGGAGGGTGTCTTGAGGCCGCCTTGGGCCGCCATGGGGTTCTCTTAGGGTCATCTTTGACCCATGTTGTGCCGTTTTGGGGCTCTCTTGGACTGCCTGGAAGCCTTTTCGGATGGCTGTGTGGCGATTTTGGAGCCTCCCAGGCGGCTTGGAGCGTCGGGAAGCCGAAGAGAAGAGAACCCCAAAATTCACCAACAACCTACAGAAAGTCAATGATTTTGGCCTCTTGGGGCCTTCTTGGGAGTGCTCTTGGAAGCCTTTTGAAGCCTTTGGGTCCGTCCTGGAGGCCTCTTGGGACATCTTGAGATCACGTCGGTCACTCTTGGAGCGCTCTTGTGCTGTCTTGGGGGTCTCTGGGACGTCTCCGATGACCCCCCTGATCGCCCTAGGTGTGCTGGGAAGGCTTGGCAAAATGCTCTGCGAGGCCCGGGGGGACGCTTCGAGGCCCGTCCGGAGGGTCCCAAAGCCCCAGATCCCGGGAGTCTGTTTTTTTTGGTGGGGGGGGGTCCCCCCGCCCGGGCTTATAAAAGTATAGGAAGAGGAATATCGGTTGGAGTCGGAGAAACCGCCTTGAGGGCACGGTGATGATGATGTTCGTCGCCACCGCACCTCGGAAGGTCTATCGAGATTTGCGTAGGTTTTTGATGGTTGGATCGCGGGAGAGACAGACTGGAGGAGGAGGAGGAGGAGCAGGAGCAGGAGCAGGAGTCGGAGGAGGAGGAGAAGAGGGAGGAGAGGGAGGAGGAGGAGAACGTACGAGGAAATTGAGGGGGGTGAGAGGGGGCGGGCTTACGGGATAGGCGGTGGCGCCTCCGCGCCGGCACATGTGGATGAATGCGAGCCAGAGGAGCAATGGTTGGCGGGCAAAGTCATGGCTTTGTTTCGCCATCGGGGGCACCTTTCCCAGGGCTGCTGGAAATCTTATCCCGCCATCTGCCATTGCAGGGGTATTGACTTCCCAGCCGCATGGGACAGGTGCCCCCGAAGAGGAATAAGTCGCTTCAAGAATGGGGGGGAGAAGGAACGCAAGGGGGGTCGGGGGTCCAGTGTCCCCTCCTCCATCCCCTCCCCCGCGCCCCGAAGAAGGCCGACTGCACGCCGCCACCAGAGCCGGAGGAGTTCTCGGATATGCGGCGGCTTCAGGACCCTCTCTGGTAGTCTTCCGCCTGGTCCTCTGCCCCCCTCAGGGGGGGTACTGGAGGGAGTTGAGTCTCCCTCCCTGCCCGTGGAACACCAGCCTCGAGCTGATCCCTAGCCCGACTCTTGACAAGCCCAAAGGCGATGACAATCGTAGGCGTTCAGAAGCTTGGGAAATCCTGAAGGTCGGCTTCGGGAGAAGGTAATGCCTTTCGTAGGGGTTCGGGTCTGTTCCAGGCTGGTCAATTAAGGGCCCAGACCGGCCACGTTTCTGCCGTTTTTTCTGGTTGCTGGAGGTTTCTCTCGCCTCGGGATGCTTCTGTCCGCAGCTTCTCCAAGCCGAGAGCTGTCTGGGTTGCCGAAGTCGGCCGCTGGAGGCTTGAGCTGGGGACCGCACAACTACTTCCCAACGCACTTGAACAACTGCGATGCGGACTTTGCTGTTTGTGGTTTGCGGCCTCGTGGGCCCTCGCCGGGCCCCCCAGGGACCGTCAACAACGACTCGGGATGAAAATCTGGCCTCGGGGAAAGCGTCGGGATTTTCGCGGGCCTTGCCTTGAAGAAAAACAATTCTCGCGGGCGGCCTCGCGGGCGGAGCACTTGGGCTGCGACCCCGTGCATACGAGGCGTTGTTCCGCAAATGCCCTGCTCAGACCGTATCCGTGCCACCGCGTATCCACGGGATCACGTCCTAGAATCCAGATCGCGAGGGCTGTCGCCGCTCGTTAAGTACGTCGGATCGCGAAGTTGCCCCGCTGGACTTCCGTTTTGCACTTGCACATTCTCTCCCCTGATTCCTGCCAGAAAACAGCCGATTCTCTCGGCGTGCGTGATTTTTTGAGAGAATTCGGAAAAGTTGATTTCCCCATGGTTCTTCAATTCCGAGGTCTCTCTGTTTAAAAAACGGTAGCATGGTGCTCCTTCTCTTGCGTAGGCTTCATTTTCAAATCGGCGCTGTGCTCCCGTCTTTCAGAATGGTGATCTCGCCCCACTGTGGGCCGCTTTTCTGGATACGATTCCTTTTTCATCGTTGTCGCCCCCCTCATTTCCCCTCCTCCGCGTTCGGTTGGTCATAATGCTCCTCCTTCTCCTTCCACACCAGTTTTTGCTGCTGCTGTTCGTCCTCGTCCCCGTCCTTCCACATCCTCCTTTTCTCCTGTTCATCCTCCTGCTCTCCCGCCACGTCCGTAGCCATTTTGGCTCAAGGCCAAGATAGTGTCCACTCCACTGCCTCAGCGGGGTAGGCTCCCACATTTCCCAAACGTTGGCCCATTTTCCTTCATATGACGCCCGCGTAAGGGCACTCCATATTCCAAGTCCAGCAGTTCGTGTTGCAAAGCTGGCATCCGCGCTGTGGTCTTCCTGATCACGCTGCGGCATATCCTGGATCTCTCATTGCCGCCGCTCCTCTACATTCAGCCACCTATCCCAACGTCGTCACGGCCCATTGGGTCCGAGCTGGTCCGCGCTTTTGGACGCAGGTTTCGCAGCGTCACCTTCACCAAGGAGCCATGGCAGCATCCGGCAGCAGCATGTCCCACCCATTAGAGGGATCTGGCAGACCTTATTCTCGCCCCCGTGATCGTCGAATTCAAGAAGGTAGGCATTGCAAGAGCAGAAGCGGAGGCGACCGCAGTGGCACAAACAGAAGACAGAGAGAGGCGTACCGATCGTGATGAGCGAGAGCGAAATCGGGAACGGCGGGATGACAGACAAGAGCTACCTCGAGCTGCTACCCGAACATCTGGACCTTCGGCATCAAGCACGGACGCGCTCAATGAGAGAGACCCCTGGCAAGCAGCAGCGGCTGCATCCTCATCTCAACGGCATGCTGGAGCAAGGGGAAGACCAGCTAGACCTCCTGGACCTGAATCTGCTCTTCTCTGACCACGAGCTACACAACAAGAGGTCCGTGAATTGGAATTTAAATAGTTCTTAGGTTTCCTGATGAGTGCGCGGGTGCTGCTGGGAGTGCCACACCGATTGGTGGCCGACCTAGTTTCCCCTACTCTTGGTTCTGATGTATCAGACCTGGAACAGATGTTGGCGGCGATGGGCCAGGCTTAGATTGCACAGGCGGCGGCTCAACTCACGGTTGCGGCACATTCATTTACTGCTTAATAGCAGCAGGGCTCCACCGCGCAGGTGCGCGAATTCCTGGCAGTCAGCAAGCAGAACGCGGCGCACCTCGAATTGCACGGTAAAGGTACCCATGCACTACATTCCAGATCAGATAAGGTCGAAGCAGACCAACAACGCATTCGACAGCAGCTACAAGCAACGGGGCAGGCATTGGCAATGGCAGAAACATCAGCCCCCTTTGATGTCCAACCGATTGCCGAGTGGGATAGAGCACCTGGCCCAACGGTATTCAGCATCGGAGCCCCGCGTACAGTGGCGCCTTCAGCAATCATGGCAGCGTTCTCGGCATGGATTGTGGCTTCTGGCGTCCCTACTGGCCAGCTCGTACTTCACGGGTGCGCTCCCCAACGGAGGTTGTAATTTCAAGTTGAGCTGGTTTCAGAACATTCAGTGGATTCGACACAGGAGGGGTCAACACCCCAGTCTATGCCAGTTCCGACAAGAGCCCGAAGCAAGTACGATTGGAATTGCAAACCAAACGGCTTCAACGCATTATCCAGGATGCCCACGCTTGGCATCGAATTGGGGCGCAGAGAGCCACGGGCATCACCGCCGTCGACGCAGTACCGTTGGTCGTGGCCGAAGTTCAAGGCCCTGAGGATCCATCCAATCTGCGCTGGGACTCGCCTATCCTTGCGCGCTTCCAGATCGACGAGCAACTTCTGGTGGCTGCATTTGGACAGGCATTCTCTAGCGTGGGCACGTCTACGTGGTCGATTTAGCAGGAGATAGTCGCCTTTGTCATCTAGATATGGGCGGCGCAACGGCACCATCGCGACATGGAGTGCGCGTGGCTTGCTCTGCTATAAGCCGCACCGCAGGACGGCCAAGCTTTACAGGCTCTCTTCTTTCATGCGCAGGCCCGCAGTGATTTTACTGCAGGAGTGCCGTGGCACGCTGGACAAGTTGACCGCCGCCATTGCCGCATGCCGCGTATCCATACTCGCGCAAGATCTTTGCTGTCTCAGACAGCTGATGGCCCAGCATTCCTGGTGCCGTTAGATTCTCGGGGTCAAGGGGGTCCTCGCATTCACTTTCGCCACCGGGTCCTGCGCGCTGGAAGTGTAGCTCTGCTCACAATCCCCAACAAGAAGGACACCTTCATCCTGGCGCTGATGAACATCCGAAACTTCGAGATCGATGCCAGCTCACAGAACAAGATCCAATCGACATGGCGAGAACTGGTGCAATGGAGCTTACAGGATCCTACGCGGAGGGCATTTATTGCAGCGGGGGGTCCAATATACAGTCTGGCCCAACACGCAGCTACGTCGACCCTGTCAATGAAGTGTTCGTTCCTGGCGTCGTCCCAGGTGCTCGCGGTCGGCGTTCTCAGCCGCCCCACAGCTACCGGGAACGTTCCTTTTCAATGGTTGTTGATATTACTGCTGCTTGTCCATCACACTACTGCAGAGATGCGGCTACAGCGGCAGCCCTGGACATAATCTCCATTGGCATACCTGCTCACTATCTTCTTGATGTTGAGCTGTTGGCAGAAGCGACGAGGGCGCGGCGGCCATCTCTGAATCCAGACCCAGCGACCGCGCGCCGATCTCATTATCACTGCGAGACCGAGTCAGACGCGATGAACAGACCAGCATTCCTGAGCCGGTCTTTCGAGACCCTCGCTATGGAGACATTATTGGACAATTGCTTGGGGCAGCGCAACTTGAGCGATTTTCTGCAGTCTACCAGCGGCGATGCATGAGGGTCTTCATGACAGGGGCGGCGCGACAAACGCGCGACGAATTTCAACGACTACCGATCTCCTCAACGGACGCTCGCTCCAAGGGAGGCAGGCTCATCGCACTGCGGGCGATCTCGCGATGCATTTGGCACAGTGACATCCCCGCGGCGCAGGCGTCGAAGGCCGCCGCCGCCGACGGCGCGAGCTTCGCTGACATCGTCAACGGCGTTGTAGAGCTCTGCGAGAGGGGCGAGCTCGCTCTCATCATCCGCGCCGCCAACTACGAGCACGGGCAGATGGGTGCCAGGCCCGCCGAAAGCAGGGCGCCCAGAGGGGGGGGGGCGGCGGGGGGCGAGAGACGAGCAGCCCGCGTGCGCGAGAAGCGCTCAAACCTTTGGCCCCCCAAGACCCGTCGTCTCGCGCTCGCAGCGCTTCGCCCTTAAAGCTTCCGGGGCTCGCCAACCGCTGCTGGAGACCCCGAAGAGGTTGCCGCCGCCCTCACCCCCCACTGGAAGCCCATACGCGGCGCCAAAACAACGAAGGAGGAGGCCCTTCAGGAATTTCTCAACAAAGCCTCCCCGCAGCAAGCCTCTCTACATCTTAGATCCCCATCTGGAGCAGAGCTTCATCGAGCTCTTCTTCGCGCTAGGCGCTCTGCGCCTGGCCCCGATCAACTCTCGCGCTCGGCGTGGAACCCCCCGACCCGAACTGCTAAACGTCCTGCATCGTCTCATGGTTTTTTATGGTGGACATCCGGTGCCCTGGGATCTCAAGGGCAGCCTCTTCGCCTTCCTCCCCAAGGGATCTGAACCGGAAGATGCCCGGGGATGCGTGGGACGCACTGGGACGGCCAGACCCCGTAGCCTTCGGAACACTGACATTCAGATCATGGCATCAGCCACTAACTTTCACATCCGTCAGGTTGCTCAAGAGCGTACCCATGAGGCCCAACAAGGTGTCATCCCAGGACGCTTTTTCCCCGTCCAACACCATCACCCTGGACTCCGAGGCACTCAAGGCCAGCATCACTCCTGGGGCTGAGACGGACCTCCCCATCTCTGCCGCCTACGATGTTGAGGGGGCGGCCCCGTCCCAGGGCCATCAGTGGTTGTTCGCCATCTTGAGTAGGGTGGGACTTTCGTCAGGGGTATTGAATTGTATTCATGCGCTGTACTTCTCCCTCCCAGA